CGGCTTTTTTCTTTTTGCTTATGTGGTGCTGAGGAATCGAACCCAGGGCCTCATGCATGCAAGGCAAGCGCTCTACCACTGAGCCACCTTCCCAGCCCCGTAACTAATATTTTTTAGTGCTGCTTTATGCCAGGTATAATTCTAAATGCTTTACATGCTATGTATCAGTTCTATAATCTTCAGTACAACTCTCAAATAAGAAAATGGAAGCATAAATTCATTATACAACTTGCCTAAGGTTGCACAGCTGCTAAGTGGTAGAGCTAAGATTTGAATCCAGGTAGTTTGGCTCCAGAGCTCAGGCTCTTAGTCCCCAGGCTGCTCATAGAGATTAAATCAAAGTCCTGTGATTAAATAAACAGGCTAGCCCTGAAATAAGAACTCATGAATTTTCCTGTTCTGGGAGGCTCTAGGAGTGTTTCTGCCCAGCAGGGAGTTGTTCTGCCTGCTCGTTGTTCACCTTGCAAAGCATTAAATATTCAATCTCGAGCAAGCCCCTGACCTCCTCTATAAAAGGGGGTCAATACCACCTTCCGTGGTCTCACTGGGAGTTGGGTTGAGGGCTGTGTGGTGGTATAATGCAATGTTTCCTTGACCTTGAGGCGGGTCATCTACAATGAATCGCCTGGGGAGCTTATTAGGGTTATAAATCCTCGAACCATTATCTCTCCTCAACCCAAATCTCTGAGACTGAAGCAAGCTTCTACTTCTAACAAGCTTCTCCAGTAATTCTGATGAATAGCCGGGTTTGTGTCCACCTTTTAAAGTGCCAGACAAATACTAGGACTTGCTCCTCTGCAGGCTGACTTTACATAAATCCCAAACCACAGTTTGAACCCCCACAATTTGAATTTATGGCAGTTTAACAAACATGAACTAAGCACCTGCTTGGTGCAAAGTCCATGTTAGCCTATGCTAGAATGACAAGGACAGACATTCCCATTGCTGAGGTCAGTGGAACTGGTGGTCTTCTGAGCCATGTAAGCCCACTGGAAGTTCTTGCCTTTGAGGTCATGGCTCCTCTGTATCTTGCAGGTGAACTCCAGTTTGCCTTTGTATGCTTCCTCCTGGGCAATGTGTATGAGGCATTTGAGCACTGGAAGCGGCTCCTGAACCTTCTGTGCCGGTCAGAAGCAGCTATGGTGAAGCACCACACACTCTACATCAACCTTATCTCCATCCTCTACCACCAGCTTGGCGAGATCCCTGCTGACTTCTTCGTGGACATTGTCTCTCAAGACAACTTCCTTACCAGTACATTACAGGTGAGCATTCTGTTAGCTGATGCCCAGGTGGGTCAGAATGATAGCAAAGGTTTAAAGCGCCCCAGACCCTGATGTTTCTTGATTGCCGTTCCTGATTTTGAGATGTTTCCTTGTTTTCTCCTTTGTTGAAAGTTTCTCTCTATCAAGGAGCCTTTTGGGGGGATAGCCCTTGCCACGCCACCCCCTGCCCGTCGCAAGCCCTCTCCTCTTCTTTCCCCAGACATCTCATGCACTGTGAGACTTAGAATTTGAATCTTTTCTATTTCTTTGGGTTACTCAGTATTGTCGGGTTTTTTTTTTTTTTGGTGTTGTTTTTTTTTTTTTTTTTGGTTTTTTGTTTTTTTTTTTTTTTTTGGTTTTTGGTTTTTTTTGTTTTGTTTTTTTTGCCAGTCCTGGGGCTTGAACTCTGAACTTGGGCACTGTCCCTGAGCTGCTTTTGCTTAAGGCTAGCACTCTCCCACTTGAGTCACTACTCTAGCCTTTTCTGTGTATGTGGTACTGAGGAATCAAACCCAGGGCTTCATACATGCAAGGGTATCACTCTACCACTAAGCCACATCTCCAGCCCCTGTCGTTTTTTTATTACCATAATCAAATATGAGACAGACTAACAGTGAAAAGCAGTTTCACAGTTCTGGATGCTGGAAGTCCAAGGTCAGGTGGACTAATCAGTTTGGCCTTTGTTAGTACCAAGAGCATCTTTGCAGGAGGAAATGCATACAGGAATCCAGTTCAGTCCTTGTAGAGCTAACAGAGGTCTGTGAGAACCACATTAATCCTCTACAGGGGTACCACCCAGTGGCCTAAGGACCCCCCACCAGGCTCCACCTCTTAATATCACCACACTGGGGACAAAACTTCTAGTACATGAACCCTTGGGGAACAGACCACAACCAAGCCAGAGCCTCAGCTCAAAGCAGCATCTCTCCCCCTCTTTCCCCTTCTTTCTCCCTCCCTTCCACCTCTCTGAGCTGCTACAACCCAGTAGAGCAGAGTTTTGAAGCTTGTTATTCCCACAGAAACATCTGCAGCTCCTTAGATCTCATTTAAGCATTAAAGTAACTTTGATTTCCTGTTCAAACAAAATGTGCCAGTTTCTACAGAGATTCTCTGACAGAAAAAGTGAAATTTGCTTTTAACTTAGCAATTAAATTTTCATTATGAGTGGTAATTAGGGAAGGAGCTTCAAACAAGTTAGATTCTTCATCCTGTGCTATTTCCTCCCTTTGCGAACAGATTAGTTCCCTTTCTGTACTTGGGACAGCCTTTGTCACTTATGTTTTGTAACTTTCTTTCCCTGTGAGAGACCCCAGAGGCCTACTCCATGCAATGTAGTTCCTTCCCCTCTCTTACCCCCCCACCCCCCTGCAACCAATAGCATTCAGTAAATGATGTTCGGTTTCACACACTGTGCTCACCACACTATATGGGTTCTCAGAGCAGATTGTTCCGGATTTACGAATGGAAAAACAGACTCAGGAAAGTTAAGTCATTTACTTAAACTCACAGTCTGTTAAGCGTACACAGTCTTGAGACTTGATTGTTTGTGCTGATGGCCTGAAATACTGAATATAGGAACCTCCCAGGAAGGATTCCTGGTGGAAATGGATGGAGACACCACCAGTAGCCTATTTCTCAGAAGTGCAAAGCAGTTTTCTAAAATGAACTTGCTGTTGGAAGAGTCCCTTTGAGTAGGCAGTTAGCTGGAAACTGGCACTAGAAAGACTTTTACAGATTGTGATGATAAATCTATCAGCTAATGACTTGAACATGGCATAATCTAGAAGAATTATAAAACTACCCTTTAATTGGTTCTTAATTGAACAAAGAAACTTAATCTCCTCATTCTTCCTCAGTGGAGACCTTTCCACAAAGATACTGTTGTGGGTTGTGGGGTAGTGTGAGAAGCATCACCTGACTGGCCTCAGTCAGTGGCTACAGCCTAAGGAAGAGAGGGAGGGAGTGCTGTCACACAAACGGGAGATCTCCCTTGTCCATGGTTATCCTGGCCACTGTCCTGAGCATTCTTTGCTGAGGCTTTGTTACCAGCAGGGATTTTAAAGCAGAAAGACCCAGCCAGATTTCGAGGTGCTCAGATGGGTTGTACAAAGCTTGTAGTTAGAAAAATTCTTTTTGAGCTTTTCACCAAGAAAATTTGATACTATGTTTAGAAACCTTAAGAACTCATGCCTTTAAAAAATACATCAACAAGCCGGGCGCTGGTGGCTCACGCCTGTAATCCTAGCTACTCAGGAGGCTGAGATCTGAGGATCGCGGTTCAAAGCCAGCCCGGGCAGGAGAGACCGTGAGACTCCTATCTCCAATAAACCACCAGAAAACCGGAAGTGGCGCTGTAGCTCAAGTGGTAGAGTGCTCGCCTTGAGCTGAAGAGCTGAGGGACAGCGCCCAGGCCCAGAGTTCAAGCCCCACGACCGATAAAAAAAAAAATACATCAACAAAAAGTTGAGCATCATTTATATAGAATGTTCTGAAAGTGTTAAGGAGTGCATGTAGAATTAACTAGGGTTCCTGCCCTCAAGGGATTTGTTGTTGACTAAGCACCAGCTGTATGCAAAGCTGTGCTTTAGAAGTGGAAAAGAAACTGTGAGCAAGTCATACAGAGGCCCCACAGGGGGAAGTGAACAAATGAATTAACTAAATAACTCCAGAGAGCAGTAAATGTTTAGAAGGCAGCATGGTCCCTGCCCTGGCCCTGATGTTTCTGCCTCTTTTACGAGGCATCAGTATTTGTCAGCCTCCACACTTAGGCCCTTAGCCCATCCATCCATCTCCCACATTGCCACCTGAGCTGCTTCAAAATGTGGTTCTGACCCTTTCTCTTGGCTTCTCATTGCCTAGGATTTAAAAGCCCAAACATTTGGTTCCAAGGCCTCAGCGTCCTGGCTCTGATCCTCTTCTCCAGCATCCCTTCCTCCCCTTGTTCTTCCCATTGAGTCAGTGTCGGTAGCCCCCCTGTTGGGTTGCACACAGGCCATGCTGTTTCATGCCACCTTCTTTTCTCTTACCTGCTTTGTACTCACCACTAGCATATAGAACAGTTTTGCTTCCTGAGTTAATGTAGTTTCTCCCTGATTTGCCCATTGAACCATGGGCTCTTTATACACAAGACCGATTATTTGCTTATCTGGTTATTTTCAACAACTTGTTAAGGGCTAGCACTTATCGTACTTTGTGTTATTGGTTGTTTTCAGATGGAAAGATTTTATAGTTATGTGGCAATGTGAGTATGCTAAGGGTCAGTAGTGAAGTCTTATCAAATGATATTAGGAGCACCAAAGAGGGAGTAATGGATTCTGACTGGTTGAGATCTGAGGGTATTTAGGACAGGCCTTATGTCAAGGGAGGCATTTGGCCATGAACTTAAGGGATGACTGGAGTGTCAAAAGGCACAGTGTGGACAAGGATATTATAAGGGTGTTTTTTGTTTTGTTTTGTTTTAAAATGGAGAGCTACGTGATGCCATCTGATAGAGAGAGTCCAGTTTTCCCCCACTCCCACCCCCTCCCAGAGGCCTTCACTCAGGGTGTTTGAATGATTCAGCCCTTAAAGCTTCTTCAGCTCCCTGCAAGTGCTCTGGCCCCAGGTAGTCAACTAAGTGCAGCTGGCTTCCTTACTGAGGAGTGAAAATGGCTACTGCCTACGGACTGGGCTTTGTGTTTGTATGGGTAAGCACTTAAAGACATTAAAACTGTCGTATTCACGTGGGGAAAATCAGCCCTGTAATGGCTTTGGCCTTTTTTTTTTCTTCAAGCTTTCCTATACGGGGTACTTTTGAGTAGATGTCACTGATTTTTACAAATCCTTTGGATTTAGCATGAATAAAAACTCTGTAATTAACTTGAAAAAACTCTTTGTTTTATAAATTTATAGTTTTTTCTTCTACTTAAAGTAACTTAAATCATCATAATTTGTTTAAAGCCTATGATAGGATAATCTGAATTTAATAGTATGTTAGAGTTATGTACAGAATAAGAATTCTTACTGCTAGCTGGGCACTGGTGGCTCATGCCTGTAATCCTAGTCACTCAGGAGGCTCAGATCTGAGGATCACAGTTCGAAACCAGCTTGGGCAGAGAGGTCAGTAAGGACCCTTATCTCCAATAAATTACTCAAAACAGTTGGAAGTGGTGCTGTGGATCAAGTGGTAGAGCACCAGCCTTGAGCACAGAGAGGCTCAAGGATAGCTCCCAGGGCCTGAGTTCAAGCTCCAGGACCAGAAAAAAAAGGAATTCTTACTGCTGATTACATAGCATTTATTCAGATAGTCTTATAACTTGGTTTCTTTGCTAGTCACTGTAGGCCATAGATGCTTTCTAGCTTCCTGTCTTGTCAGTATGCTGGATGCTAGTGTCCATCTCTAACTTTAAAGAAAACATTGACTCTGCCAATAATTTCTGTGCTATTTTATCACAGCACAAACTAGTGCATTTACCTGACTTCTGCCACCAGCTGTGCCCTGTATTTATTCAGTGTGCCTTTTCTCTTTTAGCCCTCTCAGCAGTGTGGGAAGTTGGGTATATAATCCCCTGAACAGGTAAGGGAAGAGACTCAGAGAGGTTACATTATTTTGTCCATAATTACTGAGCTAGTGGATGAAGGGCTAAGCTTTGGATTCTGAAGCTGGTGTGGGCCGCCCCATATGACTAGAGCGCCAGATGAACCATCCCAGATTCTCTAACTGACCTCAGAAGATTGTGGGAATCATCCCACAATCCCTGCTTATCACCTAGCTGGTTGGTTAGTACTGGAAAGTGATCATCTTGCTTTTAGTACCACTTTCTAGTAATAAAATGGTCTACATGACCAAAAAAAAGAAAAAAAGAAATATTCCTTTGTAGCCAGGTGCTGGTGGTTCACGCCTGTAATCCCAGCTACTCAGGAAGCTGAGATCTGAGGATCACAGTTCAAAGTCAGCCCAGGCAGGAAAGTCTGTGAGACTCTTATCTTCAATAAACCACCAGAAAACCGGAAGTGGTGCT